AAAATAATCAGTAAGACTTACATAGTTCTCAACGTTAGACATCAATTTTCGGTAGATATCGATGTAATTTCCTAAAGGGGCCAATCTGCGACCTACGCTCAAACACGCACGACATTGTAAGGGCTGCTTTGTATTATATTCCTGTTTAATTTCTGGTTCTTGCATGTCGTTTTTCGATGCTAAAGTTTGTCGACAAAAATGTATTACTTTCACAATCACTAGATTTATTGGAGTTTACTTTGATGGCTTCGCCGTATGCAATGCTTTTGATCCCTCTTCAACATCCTCATTAATTTATTTAGAAAAATATTCAATCAAAAAGAAAATAAACAACTTTTTTTCTTACTTACATTTTTGTTTTGACGTTTGATTTTCCGTTCGAAAATTTATCTTAGTTGCTTGTTTTCCGTTCAGAAATCACTTTATTACCGCCATCTAGAATCAAGTAGCCTTATTAAAATCCAGATCTGACACGTAATCGCACCAGTGACGAACGGGATTAAAATTACTTCCGGTTTGTGGTTTCGCTTCTTGTCAATAGATGGCAGGCGTAATTGCGGATTAAAAACCTTTCTTCCAAGCCCAACAAAAAAAAACTAACGTCACTACACTACACAGTTTACGTTTGTTTGTTTGTTGATAAACAAAGGCGCAAGGCGTGAGTTCAACTCAATTTCTATAATTTTATAACTTAGTTCAATGTTCATCGTGTGCCTAGAATTGGGATTGTTTTTCTGTGTTACTTAGGTAAGCTACAGTCCAGTCATTTATGTTTTTTATCTTATGCTTTTTGTCATGTAAAAGTTAACAAGCTGTATTCGTTACATCTTCATAAATCGTGTGGAATATTGCGAACAATACAACTCAGTTATGAATGAAAAGTGAAACTCTAGGGATATTTTCATTTTAATTTGGATAGTCGTCCAACTATCGAAATTAAATGTTATCAGATAAGGTTATGATGACAACTAATAGGAATTCATGTATGGTACACAGATATCTCCGCCAGTCGTCCACTTTGCTTGCCCTTTGTGTACAATTTGTGTCTGTAAATTGGGTTTTAGTGTAGTTCCTTATTATAGCATCACTATCATGTTTATCTTAATTATTTTATGAATGGATAGAGCATGGTGAGTGCAAAATATCTTAAGAAGTCATTTGTTTCTCACTTCAGACTCCAGCTCCACAAAAAAATTATATACTCTTTTCAAAAAAACTGGCAACTGGATTAACTAGAACAAACATATAAATTGGCCATGTGATGCCGGCTTAGAATAGCATCACCCCATTTCTCCCTCCCTCAAATATGTGTTAGACGTGGCAATAATGACCGTACTTTTACGGTAATTGACGCTCTGCCTACCCCGCAAGGGATAAAGGCATGATGTATGTATGTAACATATAAACAATTTTTTTTCTACCTTTTAGTCCCACCCATATGTATGTATAGGTACTAGTGTTTGTTAACTATGGAAATTAAATAAGTTCTGAATAGTATCACCAATAAAAGTACAAATGTAAGTGACTGCTTAATGTTCATTGGGAAATTTTGGGGAAAAAGTATGTCAAGTGAAGACTGACTTTGCTGTTTTTCTATTTTTCAGCAACCACAACCTACAATATTATACCTCTCCTAAAAGTATACTCTGACCGAAAATTCAACTAATATTAAAAGTATGGCAACCACTTGTGATGAAAATGTTTCTAGTTCTGAAAGTATGACAATCCCGCCTGATAAAATTGCAAATTGTTCTGAAACAATGTCAACCACTCTTGAAGAAAATGTAACTAGATCTAAAAATATTGCAACTCCTAATGAAAATGCAACTGGTTCTAATAGAATTGCAACCCCTACTGATGAAAATGCTACAGATTATGAAAAATTTGCAACCATTACTAATGAAAATGCAAGTGATTCTGAAAGAATGGCAACCACTCCTGGTGAAAATGCGACACATTCTGAAAGAATGACAAACATTACTGATGTAAATGCTACAGGTTCTGGAATAATTGCAGCAACTCCTGATGAATATACAACTGGTTCAGTAAAAATGGCAACCATTTCCGATGAAAATGCAACTGGTTCAGTAAAAATGGCTAACCCTCCTGAAGAAATTTCGACTGATTCTGAAAGAATGACAACCTCTCCTAAAGAAAATGCTTCTGCTGCTGAAAGTCTTACAACCACTCCTGATGAAAATGTAACTAATTCTGATATAATTGCAACGTCTCTTAATGAAAATGAAACTGCTTCTGAAAGAATGACAATCCTTCTTGATGGCAATGCAACTGGTTCTGAAAAAATAGCATCACCTCCTGATGAAAATACAACTAATACTGAAAAAAATGTTAAAGCTCCTGATGATAGTGAAACTGCAGTGGATCCTGATTCGGAAGGAACAGAGTCATGTAATGAAGACAGAATGACAAACATTCCTGATGAAAATGCAACAGGTTCTGGAATAATTGCAGCAACTCCTGATCAAAATGCAACTGATTCTGAAAGAAGGGCAACCACTCCTGGTGATAATGCAACACATTCCGAAAGAATGACAAACATTCCTAATGCAACAGGTTCTGGAATAATTGCAGCAACTCCTAATGAAAATGCAACTGATTCTGAAAGAATGACATACATTCCTGATGAAAATGCAACAGGTTCTGGAATAATTGCAGCAACTCCTGATGAAAATACAACTGGTTCAGTAAAAATGGCAACCACTTCTGATGAAAATATAACTGGTTCAGTAAAAATGGCTAACCCTCCTGAAGAAATTTCGACTGATTCTGAAAGAATGACAACCTCTCCTAAAGAAAATGCATCTGCTGTTGAAAGTCTTACAACCACTCTTGATGAAAATGTAACTAATTCTGATATAATTGCAACATCTCTTGATGAAAATGAAACTGATTCTGAAAGAATGACAATGCTTCTTGATGGCAATGCAACTGGTTCTGAAAAAATAGCATTACCTCTTGATGAAAATCCAACTAAATCTGAAAAAATAGCATCACCTGATGAAAATACAACTAATTCTGAAATAATAGCATCACCTCCTGATGACAATACAACTAATTCTGAAAAAAATGCAATCGCTCCTGATGAAAATGAAACTGCAGTGGATCCTGATTCTGAAGAAACAGACTCTTGTAATGAAGATGAATTTTTGACTGAAGAGCAAAACGAAGATCAGAAACCAAATAATTGTGTTAAGTAAGTATTTATTAAACAGACTAAAATATGTTTATTCACACCTAAATGTACATACATATCAAATATTAGATACTTAAATATTAACATATTGTTGGTCTCGTAGTGAGCCAAATTTAAGTAGTGTGATGTACAGTCCAGGGCCCCGAGTCCGCTAAATGAAAATCGTTTCAGTCGAGTCTCGATGGCATCTCAGTTGTATGGTTTCGGCCATTTCGTAGTCTGCTAACAGTTTTTAGTATGGAAAATCACAGTGGCAGTAGAATGACAGTTGAGTCTCGCTGGCATTACAATGGCAAAAAATTAGCAGACTTGGGGCCCTGCAAAAAAGAGTAGAAATTAAATAAAATGGAACTAAAAAATTTACATACTAAATTGTTGCCATTCTTAGTCAATGTTGCCATGTAATTTTGAAATTTCATACAAAGTGGCGCCCTCATTTTTTGTCTACTCTTTTTTGCTGGACTGTAAGTATGTTTAATTTATCAAAAACTAATAGAAATTAACATTTTGATAATGTTTTTCACATAGGTTCAACAGCTTTCAAAACACAATCTAGTTAATACTTTTGTTCTTTTGTAGACAAGCTGTCTGTCGTAAAGTGACTTTTGCGGAACAACAACTACCAACATCTACATCATCCCTACCAACTTTGTCTGCGTAAGTATATTATAATATAATTATTCATTATTTGTTTACTTGATTTAGTTTACTGGTAGTTATACAGGGTGTTAGGAAAAGTACTGCGTTCCTTTCGAGGGAAGAACCAGCCCATGAAACTGAACAACTTTCCCCAGGGAACATAGGTCGAAATATGAAAAGAAAATTTGGTCTTCCCATACAAACTGACCCGGCCGGCCGACACACTTAGTATGGGAGGTCCAAAATTTCTTTCCATATTTCGACCTAACTATGTTTTTTTGGGAAAGTTGTTCAGTTTCATGGGCTGGTTTATCCCTCAAAAGGAACGCAGTACTTTTCCTAACACCCTGTAGAATGAACTTGGAATGAACCCGAATTGGCAAAGTTATTGTTGACATCATACTCATATGACATATAATATGTTAGATAGGCAAACAACAGTGTTTCCAATTCGGGGCCATTTTTTATTTGCGCTATTTTATACCTTAACTATCCTTGTGGTTCATAACATAAGATTTCCTTTATTAGACTTACATCATAATATTTCAGATATTTATCAGAAAGAAGAAGAAAAAAAAGAACAAGCAAGAAACTCACGATTACACTCGATGAGAAAGACCCCTACAAGGAGAGTGATGAAGAAAATAATATTTTGGTACCACATTCAAATAAAGATACTAGTAAAAGAAAATGGTCACCCCCGCCCTTAGAAAACGAGGGACCGCAAATTCTTGAAAGTTATACAGAGGATAATATGGCAAAGCCAACAGTTACATCTACAGAAAATATTACGGATAATTGTACAAAAAATCATACACCAGAGTGTTCAGAAAAAGGCGCTAAGAAAAGTAGAAAACCGAAGATTATAGATAGTAGTATGCTAAGACGTTCGACGCGGCCTAGACGACCCACAAAGGCTTCAGAAATATACATAGGACGTAAAACTCCAAAGACAAAAAAAGATACAGAGATGAAGACGAAAACACGTACAAAGGAGCCTGCTTCTGCATACACTTCTGATAAGTATGTCAATGTATTATTTATTTGTAAGATTGTTCTGCAATTAGGATTGAGTCCATTAAAATCCCAAGACATGACTGCAATATTAATCTCATAAAATAATGATATAAGAAATTAAAAAAAATATATTGTCGGCCGGGGCTTGAACCCGGGATCGTGAAGTACCGTGCCACTGCTCTATCAACTGAGCTACCGGCGTCTGGATGACCCTCACAAAATTTTCATCCTCTTGATGCTCGTCTCGAAGCGACGATTTTAGCGTCATTCGATACTATTAGTACCAAATTGTACACATTTTTTATTCATTTTTACTATTAGTACCGATTTGCTATTTTTGTTGTTGTTTCAATTTCTTATTTTCATTAATTGCAGTCATGATTCCAATTCCACATTTTTGCCCGTAAGAAAGATGTTTTAGTATTAGGAAAGGCACGTTATACCGTCAGTTCCGGTTGTCACAGCTAGGTACTTCAGAGGCCTTCTGGTTAACACTACAAACCGGGATTACACATTAATAATAAAATAACACATCACGTCAGCTTATAGGAGTCCACTGCTGGACGTAAACCTCCTCTAGGGTACGCCACAAGGCACGATCTCCCCGTTACGTCATCCCTCTAAAGTCTAAGTCATCGGTCCATCTGGTCGGAGGGAACCCAACGCTTCGGCCTTCGCTTGCCGAGCCGTGGCCTCCACTCGAGAACCCGCTTAATCGTCCAGTTCTACAGATTAAAAGTACTTTTAGTCAGAGTTTTTCAACCACCTACTGCAAGTAGCAGCCCTCTGACATGGTTGTGTAACGACCGCCATCATAGACAGCAATCGGGACCGACGGCTTAACGTGCCCATCCGAAGCACGTAACCATCTTACTTGCGGACAATCAGGTGGTTCAGCCTGCAATGTCCTATCCAGACTGGGAACAACTTCACAAAGTGATAAATATCAACTTTGTGAGTGACCCCACCGGGAATTGAACCCGGAACCTTCTGCTTCTGCTTCTGCTAATAGTACTTGTATGTATCTATCCAGGACTTCCGCGGCGTCAGAAGTGAACATTGAATTTGTTGGCTTCGAGTCGGAAGAAAACGCACTGGCTTATTTAGGGTTAGGTAAGTTAACTTTTATAAAAAAGTAATACCATAACCATAACAGCCACAACAGTCCACTGCTGGACATGGGCCTCCCCCTATCGGGGGGTATTGCCATACTCACCACGCTTGGCAGGCGGATTGGCGAGCGCAGTGCCAAGATGTTACTTTTACAGGGAACGCTGCTGCCCATTCCCTGGATGAATATCCCTTCGTGGCTTTTTACGACACCCACGGGTAGAATTGGGGTGATGCTATTATAAGCCGGCATCACACGGCACAAAAAAGTAATATTATACTTAAAAGCTTAGGAAATGATTGCTTATCAGGGGTTTCTAGACAGAAAAGCCTGAAGCGGAAAATACGACATTAGGAGTACCTAGTAGAAACAAACATAGTAAAATACCTCGAGGTGTGGCGTAGTAAGCACACAGAAGTAAACCAAATTTATTATTATTTGCGTAAATCTCGAACTAAAACGATGTGTCCTAAGTATCTGTGTACGTTATGTCATATGAAATGTTGCTGTACTACAAGTTTTGTCTTTTTACTTACCGAAACAAAATTCCGTCGTATTTGTATTTATTTTTATTCAAAAGAAGCGTTTTATTTACACCGTATATAGGGTTACATGTTATTAAGTACAAATCTCTTAAGGGCGTGGTCTACTCACAAAACTGAACAACTTTTGTTAGAAACTTTTCTTCGAAATATGAAAAAAAAATTGGACCTCCCATACAAAAATGTTGAAAAAGTGTGTCAGTTAGTATGGGAGGTCCATATTTTTTTTCATATTTCGAAAAAAAGTTTCAAACAAAATTTGTTCAGTTTTGTGAGTAGATTACACCCTCAAGAGATTTGTACTTAATTAAATGTAACCGTATATAATTTAAAAGTAGAAAAAGCACTCGTATATAATTTTTAGCCCAAAAAGGCTAAGGCCTGCGCTAGGGATAACGATATTTATTGTCGTTTATACCTAACGATTTGATTTATTTTCGTAAAATCCGATTCAGTCTTTTTCGTCTATAATGATTTACTTCCCACTCCATTATGTCCTAACTAAACTAATAGTCCGGGCCCGCTAGCATTTTTTGTACGATAGTGTATTGTGTCTATAACTCTATAAGCATATTTCATTTTGTGCCTCTTTTTTTGCTTGTGTTTTTTTTTATTTAATTAGTATTGCAGCTTATTAATTCAATTTTTAAGTGTATAGTTGTATACCAGTATTGCCTATGTGACAGTTTATACAGTGTAATAACCAAGTATGAGTCGATTTCTCCACTGAAAACCAAAGTACCTACATTAACTAAAATACATCTGCAATGGCACAAATAATAATTGGGTTCGTTTGGCTAATGGTTTACAAACTATTAGCGGGTCTTATCGCGATAGTTTTTTATAGAGATGGGCCGAATATTCGGTCAATGTTCGGTATTCGGCATGTTCGGCACATTTACCGAATATTCGGTTTCGGCCGAATATTCGGTAAATTTTGCCGAATATTTGGCCTGAATAAAATGTATACTTTTATATGTATTGCATTGTAAATTGTTATGTCAAGCTAAGCAGACAAGCAGCTTTATTTTTATTTGTTGTCAACATTTTCAATGTAAAAAGTTAGAGAGGTAAAGAGCGGAGTAGTCTGGTGCGAATCAGCGGGTAATTCGTAAACAAATGATGCTTCTAATTATTTTATATGGACATCGATTCCTGCCGAATTATTCGGCCGAATATTCGGTTCGGCAAACTTTTTACCGAATATTCGGCCGAATATTCGTATTCGGTGAAACCTATGTTCGGCCCATCACTAGTTTTTAGGTAAAAAACGTCGAGTTTCCAGGTAAATCGCTCATTTACCTAAAAAACTATCGCGATAAGACCCGTTAAAGTAATTTTTATGTGTGAAAGTAATCGCGTGTGCTTTAAAAGTTATATAACAATAAACAACTTTAATTTTGAAACTCGATATAATTATATTTATGGTAAAATGAAATACATTAAATTATACATAACCATTTAAGTGCGACATTTCAACTTTTTTTTTCATTGGCAGGAGCGACGCAAACGCGCAGAGACGTCACTTCGCCTGACGAAGGTCCACCATGTGAACCATGGTATGATAAGATAAAATGCCTAAAACAGGCGCGAAATTGCGATGCAATAAAAAGTAAGTGTGTATAGTCCAGCAAAAAAAAGTAGAAATTAAATTAAATGGAACAAAAAAAAATTCATACTAAATTGTTGCCATTCATAGCCAATGTTACCATTTAATTTTGAAATTTCATACAAAGTGGCGCCCTCATTTTTTGTCTATTCTTTTATGCTGGTCTGTAGGTAATACGTATTGCATGTAACTAAACTTATACATAGTCACATCATATTATTGTGTCAGACACAACATTCTTCAACATAAGAGAGCACATTTTCGCTGAGCAAAAATAATAAATCAGGCTTTTTCGTGAAAATAAAAGTATACTAAAAATACTTAATTTATGTCAGTGCAATATAAGTCGCGCACAAAAAGAAATACTTGGCAACAATATTCAGACATTTTTGTTGACATCCTGCTCATATGTCATACATATAACATGATGCACAGACAAACAACAGTGTTTCCAATTTTTTTAATTTTTTTGTAAACAATGGGTAAGCATTTGTCCGCAATCTCACCTGATGTTAAGTGACGATGCAGACGATGATGGAACATGCTCGCCCAGATAATGCCTATTCACTCTCGCCTTGAAAAGGCCCAGGTTATAACGTTCCGGAAACAGATCCGCAGGCAGGGAGTTCCACTCCTTAGCAGTTCGCATTAAAAATGTAGAAGCGAAGCGCTTTGTGCGAATTTGCGGGATGTCTACGATATAAGGGTGAAATCCCAACCGGCGTCTCGTGCACCGGAGATGGAATGGTGACGGAGGTATCAGGTCATGGAGAGACTGTGCACACTCCCCGAAATGTATCCTGTAGAGTACCGACAAGCAAGCTACTTTGCGAAGCAAGCTAATTCGGGTTCTTTATCTGCGCGACTTATACCACCAACTAGTGTTTCATTGCAAGATGCGTAGCGTGCCTATAGGTATGCGTTTTATTATTTGCAGGTAATTCTCCAGTGCCACAGGAAAGTGAGTGCGCTCCTGCCAGCGAACCGAAAGCTGGACCAGGTCTGTATACGCAGAAATTAACTATCCGTATCAACTTCTCAAGCCACAATAATCCATTGCTGGGTATGTGGCGCAGTGGTTAGTACTATGGCCGTGATGGCCACAAATAATAGAATTAACTTCTTACTTAATCTTTATTCAAAGATATGGACCCTTGGGTGGGTCCGTTAATGGTTTGAGGTATCGCGCGATGACGAAATATTCACTTTCACTGTTTTAGTGATAATCTTGCACTATTTCGGGAATTTCACTTGGTTATACAATTGCAAAAATACACAAGAGAGTAAAAAGGGAACAAGAATAGGTGCGGACTTTACCGTTAGTTAGTGAGGAATGCGTCAAAAAAGCCAAGAACGGTGACGTTTCGGTGCCGTGTTCCAAATTTAAGTTATAAAATGATTCGAAAAAGGGAGATGTGAGGGTGGCTTAGGGAGGATGTCCATGCAGAGTTTGCACTCTGCTACAGTACGCCTGCCTTCGACGCAGAAGGTTCCGGGTTTAATTCCCGATGCGGTCACTCAAAGTTGATATTTATCACTTTGTTAATTTAGTTAGGACATTGCAGGCTGAACCTCCTGATTGTCCGAGAAGCAAGATGGTCCCGGTTGCTGTCTATGACGGCGGTCGTTACACAACCATGTCAGAGGCCTGCTACTTGTAGTAGGTGGTTGAAAAACTCGACACCAGGGTTCATCGGATCGTTGGACGACTTGGTTTCCCACACGAAGAAGAAGCTGGGCACGAGCCACTTCCTTTTAGGGGTAATTGCCATACTTACTTCGCCAGTAAGGTATATTGGCAAGCGCAGTGTAAAGTGTCGTATGCACAGAGAGTGCTGCTGTCCATTCCCTGTATTTATCCTTCAGTCGTCTTTTACGGGTAGAAATAGGGTCATGCTATTCTAGCCCTGCAGATTATTTATCTATGTTTCTCTATTTTA